TTCCCGTCCTGTTGCCCATCTGCTGGCGAGGGTCAGCTGAAGCAGGAGGCAGAGCCCTGGCCTATCCCCGGTGGCTTCGCTAAGCGACAAGGCTGTCTCCAACTTTTTTTTTTCCCTTCCAGTATCCCCCTCCCCCCTTGCTTTTTCCAGGGTCTGTGCAGAAGCTGGAGATGTCACAGGCCTACCAACGATTATGTGGTTGAACTGTATTTGAAATGCACGGCAAACGCTTGCTAATGCGAGTTTGCAGCAGCAATTAGACAGAAGGAGTCCAGCAGATGTGGATTCACAAAAAAGAGACTTTCTTCCTTTTCAACCCATAGCTACGTTTAGTGGCTTGCGATGACTGTGGATGCTTCCGTTGTGGCTATGGAGCAGAACAGGGATGCTGATATTTCCTCATTTCAAAACAGAAGGCTTTCCTTGTGTGTGAGATCAGATGGAAACACCATGGGTCTCATTTTCAGAGGTGCTGAGCACCCACAACCCTCAAAACCAATGAAAGCTATGGGGGCTTAGTACCTCTGAGAATCAGCCCACACAAGAACTGAGAGCCCAAATTAGGCTCTGTCTACACACAAAAGTTGTACCACTTTAACTATACGGGTACAAACCCCTTCCTTTGGATGCAGCACTACAGGTATAAAGGAGCTTATAGATTACAAGTTATGCATCTAGGAGAACAGGATGACATTATTAAAGGCACCTTTACATATGTATAACTTAGGCCTGGTCTACACTACAAACCTCGGTTTATCCTAACATATGCTATGTTGGCTACGTGAACAGCATAGCTGAAGATGATGTACTTAGACCTACTTAACGTGGTGTCTTCTGTGCAGTAAGGTCGGCAGCTGATGCTCTGCTCTCCCGAATCAACAGGAGAGCACTCAGAGGTTGATTTATTGTCTCTAAGCAGACATGATAAATCAACTACCCGTGGATCAATGGCTTCATCCTCAATCCACTGTGTAGTTGAGACAAGCCCTTAGTGCTCAGTAAGGATTGCATGAGGAGAACCATAAAATAGTTTGCAAACCCAGGGGAGACTTCATCAGCCCAGTTTGTGTTACAGGATGAGCAAGCAACTAAACCCAGAGGCAATGCAACAGGTCCGCGCCACTCTGGATTTGCAGAGAAACAACTATCCGTCTCTGAGCCATTTGGATTGGAGTCTGACAAACGGGTTTTAGTTCAGCCACTAAGCCTTGTCTACACCGGCGTTCTCTCTAAGCTGCTTGGCAGCACAGCTTCACAGGCGATTAATCAGTGCCACCTAGTCAGAAGATCAGGGCTCCACTCAGGGAGCTGACTGGGCAGGGCCAGTGAAGCTGTAGAGCAGCTTAGAGGGAACAATGGTCTACACTATCACTTTCCTTAATTTCCTGCAGTTGCACCAGCTCCAGTGAGGCCCTGCCTGTGGTAGGAACAGTGGGATCGCTAAGGTAACGGTCAAGGAGCAAATCCCGACTGAAGATGAACTGTGGAAGTGCAGATGTGGGGCACCTCTGGAGATCGGGCTCAAGAACACTGGTAGGGGGCTGCTCCAGCCTTGTGGCAGCCCCTGTCCATGGCGGGTCCGGCCCAGCCCCTGCTGCAGATTACAAGCTGGCTCTCCGGCAGCTGCTGCCCTGCTCCTCGGGAGCCGGCAGCAGAGTCCACAGCGAAACCTCCCTGGGAGTGGGGCCAGCAGCCCTTGTCGGCTCCATTCCCAAGGAGAAGCCTTCGCTGTGGGCTTGATACTGCAGAGCCTGCAGTGCATGTAACCATGTAACCACTAGGAATTTTAGCGGCTACACGGTTACCTTTTAAAACGATTTTAACCGCTGTAATTTTCAGAGCTGAAGTCCGTGGGTATCGTGGGTACTCAAACCCTCAAGCAATCAGACCTGTTTTTTTAGTGCTTCATGCTGGAAACGTGGGCGTTGGCTGCCCAGATAAGGGAAGAGAACGCCTAGGAGTGCTGAATTCCATGCTTCCGCACTGACAATGGGTATGTGTTGTTTGCAGAACAGTAGTACTAGGTGCTGTGCAAACACGTAACAAAAAGACGGCCCCCTGCTCAGTCTAAGTGTCATACCTGCCTCTCGTCTTAAAAACAGAGGGACATACAATGACAGTGATAAGCAATGGTCACAGCACACCAACTGCCTAACTTCCGTCAAGTGTTCTGTAGGCTTCAGGGGGTTCTACGGAGGATTTGGATACTGTTCTGCAGATGCCAGGGAGGCTGCTTCCATGGGTTAGGGACGGTGCGTGCAGGAAAACCCCAAGACCACTTGCTAGAAAATCTGGCAAACAGGCAAGCAGTGTAGGTGTCACTGGCAGAGGGAAGGTGGGAGTTTACATTTCTACAGCACAGAAGAGGGGATAAGTATAAGTCAACAGTGTGACACTGTTGCAAAACAAGCAATCATTCTGGGATGCACTAACACGAGTGTTGTGAGCAAGGCACAAGAAGTAATGTTTACACCCTGCTCTGTGCTGATTAGGCCTCAACTGAAGTATGGTGTCCAGTTCTGGACACTGCATTTCAGGAACGATGCGGAGAAATTGGAGACAGTCCTGAGAAGAGCATCACAAATGATGAAAGGTCTAGAAAACAGGAACTATGGGGGAAGACGGAAAGAACTGGGTTTGTTTAGACTGGAAAAGAGAAGACTGAGAGGGGACATGTGACGGCGCGTTGGGGTTTCCCCATCGCTAGTGGCACGAACAGATTTCCCCAGCCAGTAGAATAGGGGGAGTTTATTGCTTCCTGGAAGTAGGACAGCTGTAGCAAACCCAAAGCAACTAGGTGCAGATTTGCTGCTCCACAAAGGAGCATCTTCATGCTTCTAAACTGAACTTAGAAAAGTACAGATTTACTGGAAGCCAAAACACACAGTAAATTAAAAAAACCCATTTTTTAAAGACCGAGCTCCCACTCAAACACCCAGACTTGCTGGCTATGTCTACACTGGCACCCTTTTCCGGAAATGCTTAAAACGGAACAGTTTTCCGTTATAAGTATTTCCGGAAAAAGCGCGTCTACATTGGCAGGATGCTTTTCTGGAAAAGCGCTTTTTCCGGAAAAGCGTCCATGGCCAATGTAGACGCGCTTTTCCGGAAAAAAGCCCTGATCGTCATTTTCGCGATCGGGGCTTTTTTGCGGAAAAGACTACTGTGTAGTCTACACTGGCCCTTTTCTGGAACAGTTTTTCCAGAAAAGGACTTTTGCCCGAATGGGAGCAGCATAGTTTTTCTGGAAAAACACTGACAATTTTACAGTAGATCGTCATTGCTTTTCCGGAAAAGCAAGCGGCCAGTGTAGACAGCTGGCAAGTTATTCCAGAAAAGCGGCTGCTTTTCCGCAATAAGTGGCCCAGTGTAGACACAGCCGCTGTGTTTAGTAATAAAGCTAAACAAAACGCTACTTGGGACTAATAAAGGTTCTGGGAAAATAAACTAATTAAGTTTACATTGCAGTTAACCAGAGGGGAAACTGAGGCACGAAAAGTTATGTGGTTTTTCTAACTCACACTAACCCATGTCACAGCCAAGATTTCCTAGCTCCTGGTCCTGTGATCAGGATCATTAGATCAGCCAGAAGCATTGCTTGTATTTGTGGGATTGGTTTGGTCAAAGAACTGCTCTCACTTATCTGCCCGCACCCCGGTCAGCTCACACAGCCAGCTCACCTCAGTTTCCCCCATCAGGTTTCAAGGTCCCTTTCCTGTCCAGGTTTCATGCAGCAGTGACATACCAGTAGGCTAGGCAACATCGTTACTCATTCACAGATCAACTTCAGTTTTGCCACTGGCCCGTAGCTCACACAGCAAAAGCAAATAGCTTTGTGCACAGTGAACGCTTGAGGATTGATTTTGGAATATAGTCTGTTAATCAGACAGGAGGATGTGTATTCATTTAGGGTGTATCTAGACTACAGGGTTTTTTTTCGAAAAAACTTCCCCTGCATCTAAACTGCTGTTGTGTTCTTTTGAAAGTAAATCGAAAGAACGCAGCAGTTTTTTCGACTGCGGAAAACCTCATTTTACGAGGTAGAACGCCTTTTTTGAAAGCGCTCTTTCGAAAAAAGGCGCTAAGAAATGCAAACTGTGCTTTTTTGAAAGAGAGCTTCCAGACTGCCTGGGTGCTCTCTTTTGAAAAAGCGGCTCACTTTTTCGGAAGTACTGGCTGTAGTCTAGATGCTTTTTTTCAAAAGAGGCTTGTAGTCTAGACTTACCCTTAAAGAAATAGATCAGGTAGATCACAAATAAATCACAGATGCTAACAGGCCACAGGAAACTGTACCTCTCTTCCCCTCACACGTTCGTTAGCAGATTCGTGGGGAACACACCACACAGCCGCTCCTCAGTGCAGCTCAGCTCTAGGCGGATGTGACCTGGTTAAGCCTTGCGGGTGTGCGTGTAACCTATTCTGCCCCTTAACAGGTGGCCAGAGGCTGGCCAAAAGCACAGTGTATCATCTGCTCAGTGCGGGCACCCAACAGCGCTGTCAGGTTACCTGCTGGCCAAATGAAGTCCTCAGACCAGTCACCCTCCTCTCTGAGCAGGTACTGCCTTTCCTAAGAGCCACCAAACTTCATCCCATGGCTTTTGGGTAGCAAATCATTCAAAACTCCTGGATCTCTCCATGACCCCAGACGAGTGCGTGACGAGGATGATGGCTGTTATTAAGGCAGAAGTCAATAGGGTACACAACAAATGCTAGTCCTCTTGAAGTAACTCTTTCCATAGCAAGCAGAAGCTATCTGACCCTTTTCTTTTCTCCCTCCTGGGGAAGGCTCCTGACTGACAGGATGGCGGACTATTGTGTTGACAATGGAAAGAGCAGACCCAGGTGATTTTAGCATCCTCTTTTTTATCCTTTTGCTCCACAATTTATCCTGGTTTACTCCCATTCGTTCTCAGCTCCCTCGCTAGGAAAACGTTCAAAATGGGGGTCAAACCAGCATGGTCATACTGCGTCCCTAGCTTCAGAGAGCTGGAGTTTCCTACCTTTTTGGTTTCGGTTTGGTTTTCTTTCCCGGACTAGCAGCCATGGAGGCGCTGAGGTTCTGAGGAGCGTCTCTCAGCCCAAAACTCTTCGCCACATGGCCCAGGTGGAGGGATTTGATGTGGAAGATGTGCTTCAGGGTCTTGGGGTAGGTGGTGTAGGAGCGAAGGAAGGACTGCAGAGCTGCGAAAGACACACACAGAGAGAAAGTTATTTTAACTGCAGCGTAGATTTTTTTTTTTAAATAACCCTACTCCATCCTGCCTATTTCAGCCAATAGGAGGTTGCCTCGTCTTTCATGACAACGGGGATAGCACTGCTAGGAACGGCTGAGATGTTAAAAATGCTTGAAGTCCTAGTGCAATCCTGGAGAAGCAGGAGGAAGGTTGTGAAGAAAGAGGTCAGGAGCTGAAAAGAAGTGACAGGAAGACAGACTAAGTTTGCATAAGACTGCCTCTTCTAAGCACTGCCCCCGTCTGACAGGGTGGTGGTCTTCAACCTGCACAGAGGTTGGTGACCTTTGCTGGTAGAAGCTTAGACAGAGAGAAAAGGGGAGAGAGAAGGAAGACAACAACAGGAAGAAGGTGGGATGAAGAGAGGTGGAGAAAGGGTTGTGGGGAGGGCTGGGGGCAGACTCTGAGCAGCCCGTGAATTCTTCCTCAATCACCAGCTTGTCCCTCAGAAACGCCCGAAAGACACACGGATTTTCTGTTTCATCACCAGCCTGTGAACAGAGCTTGCATCTTCACCCCTCTAATGTCTTCCTCAGGTCTTACTGCTCTAAGGAGAGGCCTCAAAAAGGGCAACACTGCGAACCACACCGGTGGGGAACTCAGGATGCCAACGGCACCCACACGTCAGGCTGCAACTTTCCTCTCTGCTGT